ATAATGACTAGTAAAATCACCTAGTGTGACTCTATCCCTGATAGAAGGCAGTAAAATTTACATACATTTATACTGAGTGAAAGTCACCAAGCGGTGCCACAGAAGAGAGACAAGTGAGCAAGGAGAGCAGTATTCGGAAATGCCAGTGATTTCTCTGAAAGCTGCTGAGGGTATGGGTGTCGATTTGGGCAAGGGGCGACAGAAAGCTGCGAGAGACTCTGACACGGGGATTTGGAAAAGCAATAGAGAAGGGAATGTGAGGCTTTGAACAATAACAACACGTAAATGGAAGGAAAGAAACTAAAATAATCACCACTGCACAAAGAAGAATTAGAGAGCCCTGACCAAACCTTCTCACGTCACCAATCTGCTGGACATTTCGTACACAGGACCTCCATCTCAACTCAACTCTTTGGTCTGTGAACTACCTTCTCCTACCAAGCTTATTATGGGACCATGCAGTCCAGAAGCTCTACACAAGGTCAAAGGATGTGCTTTTTAGGGGGATTCCTTGTAATTAGGAACTGATTTGCCAACATCAAAGTTTTTTAAACACTTACAAAACAGCAGCAAGGGAAAAAAGGATTTCCAAGAAAGAAAAAAAAAAAATTGCCTGTACACAAAAGCACAGGATTTTATTCAAAATTTAAATCTGTTTCTGGTTCTCAGTATCAAAGTAGAGTGCACAAAGTTCATTGATCCTATCCACAGGAGCTAAAACTCGGACAGGTGAAAATCATGACTGAGAACCCCAGTTTTGGCACCTGTGAGAGGTCTTGAACTGTAACTCTTACATGAGGGCAATACTGGCATTCATTAAAAATAAAAATTACAACAGAAAAAAATATAAAATTAATAAACATAGATGATCCACAGATTTGGGGGTGGGGACAGAGGGTGTCCTGCCCTGCAGCTTTTAAACATTAGGAATACAAGATTTTTCTCAGACTAGAGAACTGTCTTTTATCCAGTTGCTTCAGAATGATTTTTATTTTATTAGACATAAAAGACTTATGTGTAAACATTTCTATTCACCAAGTCTAATAACTGAACATCACCCCTTGTTCAGCACACAAATTATCTACTCAGCACAAATCAAAGTAGGTAACTACAAAACATACAAGCTAATTGCCACTGGGTCATCTGCTTTACCAACAGTAACAAAACACACTGGAGTAAGGAAACTCAAAATGCACTTCATGAAGCCACACATTTCTATCCAACTCAAATAAGTGTAGCTCCATTAGGAAAATGACAAAATTCACAGAAGCCTGAAGACATATCCTATCTGCCCCCATTTTGTACCATTTTTTTTTTCAAAAATAAACAGCATTCAGCAAATGAAAGTTATAGGACGATGATGATTACAACTATCTAAAGCTTAAGAGTGCCTCTGACCCTCACAGAACATGGTAAACACAGCTAAAGTACTTGCGAGCTGAGCATTACCTACCTTTGATGTTCTAAGTCCTGCCATTACGGTACAGCAGCATTTCACCAGCATCCCTCTGCACCACACCCATTTGCCACGCACCTTCAGGAGAGCGTGACTGGTTTGTTCCTTTCACCAGTATGTCCTATTTATCTTCCTGTGTGCTCTTCCCAGTGGAAAAAGACAGCAAAAACTACACCGTTTCTCCCTTGGAGTTGGGGGACTTTTAGTATATCTATTATTTTTCTATTTCTGCCCTTTTCTTTTTTAATCTACTTTTTCCTTCTGCTTAATCCTGTCCAGCTTAATTCTGCCCAAAGATGAGAACACAGCAGCCAAGCTGTAGCAAAGGGCACAACGGAGGTCCCACCTGGTATAACTTTTCATTCATCGCCCCGAGTGGAAGTCTTACATAAACTCTAGAAAACAAGCTGGAGAGTATGTCCCTGCTCCCAGGGTTCAACTACTACAGATAGATACGGTACACATAATGAAACCCAGAACACAAGTTGAGCACCTTTAAAGATGGAAAATAATTTTTGAAATTTGCATCCACAGTCTCTGATTAACCAATTTTTCCAATACCGAGGGTCTAAATGATCTCTGATTTAACATTTGCAATCCATTTCTCAGTCTTTAACATTGCCTCATTTCACACCAGAATGCAGCACTGTCACACATAATTTACTACATATTTACTACAACTTTAATGGAAATCTTTGCCTGATTTTTTTTTGTCTGAAATTAATGAAGAATGAATATTGATCTTACATCAGGATTTCTTCTTTTTCCGAGACAGAAATCCAGCTGTAATAAACTAGAAACTATTCTGTAAAAACAAAAGCATTCCTGTAGGAAGACAAATAATCAGTCATCAGTATACAATATTCTCTAAGCAGAATACAGCAACAAACTGACCTAGATATTGCTGCATTTTGCTGACGCAGTCAACTTCTGCAGTACAATACAGGAGAACTAGGGGATCCAAAATATTTTTTTCAATAAAAATTCTTGCAGATACAGAAAGAAAAGGTAAGTCCAACACATCAGTAGTCTGAAGAATGACAAATGGGAATGCAAGGTTGTGTGGTGTTTTTTTTTCTTTTAAATGAAATTACCAGATCTGCAAATAAAACCCACTAAAGTATCAGTAGTGTTTGGGCACACAGACTTCTCACCTTTTCCATTAATGATTTCAGGAAGTTTCCTGAGGTTGTGATAAAACTAATCATCACAGCTATCCTCATGTTTTTGTAGAGAAACACCATAATCAAGAAACACAGCACCCAATTTGCAGTAGCCCCATAACTTGTGTGTGCTTTCTGAGTGTCATATAACTACAATTTAAGAACAGAAAAACAGTCATAATACTTTCCCTGTTTCACTTGTTCACCCCATTTGCACGGCATAAATAAATACAAGGAAGTATTATCAAGAATTATTTCACCAGCTTTCCATTAGTTCTTCTGACACTTTTCCATTAAAAAAATATTTTAAAAATCCTACTAGTAGCACTCCCTATCATGTTATTTTTCATTTAAAAAGAGAAGAAAAATGAATTTTAATTCTCATTCTTGTGGTAATCATGTAACAAAAAATTAGCAAGTAACATTAAGTACTCTGACCATTTGCCAAAGAAACTGGAGTTCACATTTGACAATGATATCTAAGATTTATCAACAGAGGGAGACCAGTCATTATCGCTTCAGCTGCCACTTTGAAACTTTCAGACATTTAAATTCAGCTGCAGACATCACAGAACTACTTTAATTTCTTATACTGCATATGTACCATACTGCTCCTATGTGCAATAACCACAGAGCACAGCATTCAGTGTCCTAAGATGAAAGTTTTATCCATATGCTAGAGAATATTGACTAAATAAAACTGTATTTAGAGTGTATATGCCAAGACTTCCTAGATAAAAATTCAGAATTTCAGAAGCACTTTTGGAGTAGTGTAAAGGAATAAAATTTCATTAGCTTTAAAAATTATCTTCTAACTCTGCTGAATTTAAATGTGACATTAAGTTTACGGTATAATACAATAACTGAGAGGCACACTGGAGGCATAAAACATTTAATAGTTTGTGCTGGGGCAGCTGCACACCAATTGGTAGACCGTTTTTTTAAAACTTAAGATATATGAAGGCTGTACACCAAATGGGATGTAGCTGCAGGTATCACTACCTCAGCTTTGCTACATCTGAAGATAAACTTTGCCATTCTTGAAGTCCAGCTGAATCAATTTTAGAGTTGCAGCACATTCAGACCTTTTAAAATCCAGGACAGTTTTACCTGCCACAATTAACTCGTGTGTGTCCATGCCCATATTCCTGTCAACTTTGTTTCACTGTACTATCTATAAATATTCCAAACTATCAAACACATAGATTTTTTTTTAATTAACTTTACAGTCTACACCTTATCTGTTGGCTCTTAAAAACACAACTTTCCCATTAAAGACCAGCCTGAACATGTTAGATGCAGATTGATGTTTTTAATACTTTTGACTACTGTTACTGTATGCATACATAGCACATGAAAAAAATATTTATAAACTTTTTCCTTTTGAAGCATATTCCATCCCATTAACAATAATAATCAATAGTGCCTAGAATCATAAATTTTCACTATTTGAGAACTTTCTTATCATGGTCTTCCAAGCCCAAGTGTTAATGAGAGTTCACTATCACTACTTTATTGTTAAACCTGCACATCTGATTTTGCCCTTTATTCCATGTCATCTTATTAGCTAATATATTAAGTATCCACTATTGAAAAGGGTTTTTTCAATAATGGACAAGTCAATGCAGAAACTGCCTCTGACCTGAACATTTTGGGAAGCACACTAACCAAAGTTTATATAAGCCATAATTCTGAGAAAAAAAAAAAAAATCACAGATTATTGACAAACAGTAACAAACTTCTGCTGAACAAATTGCACTTTCTTGATTTTGTGTATTTACTCACACGCTGTACACAAAGCAAAAAATGTATGCCATATAACAAAATTTCAGTCTAAAATATCTTCAGTAAAACACACCTCATTTTGAAACCTTAAAATATCTACTCTAAGTTCACAGTCCCTTTACTATCTTGTACTAAACAATATGTGATGACATTAAAGATCAGAAAAGTTGAACATGTTTCTTTAAACTCTGTTTAAAATTTAATTATTTATGTTTCTTTCCAGGTATCAAAATTCCTGTTGAAATAAAGTCACTTCACAAACAGTAGAGCTTAGAGGAGATCTAAGTGTAGAAGTCAGTTGTCTTCACATAGGCTAACCTCACTATATATAGATTCAACTTCAAAATATCCATAAATAGAACTGGTTTTGAAGAACAAAATATACATTAAGCTGCAAACAAAATTCATTGCTGAGAGGAAGACGCATTGCTGGAAGTATAATACCCACTATAAAAAGAGCAACTATAAACAAAATTTCAATGGCAGTATAAGGTTCTAGTAGTTCTCCCTTTGTCACCAGTTTCTACAGACTCTCACAAAGAAGTAACCACAGGAAATATTTCTCTTACACATCAAATCTCTGCAAGACAACTCACCAACTTTGCTGCTTTTCCATAATCAATCCATCGGATGGTGGCAAAGTTTGTTGACTCTGCACAGTTAAAACCATGGTTAAATCCTGCATGGTATCCATATGGGAAAGTGATCATAAATTCTCCTGCCTCTTGTGTAACCTATAACATTAAAAACAAACAAACAAACAAAAAAAATCAAAGTGAACAACATTACAAGAGCAGTTGTGCCGCTGAAGCAACGAAAACTGTATTTGCCTTTGCAACTACCTAGAAAGAAAAGGATTTTTTTAACCTTGCACACAGTTGCGATTTAATGCAAGCAGAAATAGCATACTTGAGACAACACTGTTTGCTGTAAAATACATAACTGCCTGTATTACTTTACAAATTCAGAAAGTGCTTTCAAAAAAGCTAATCTCAGAGCAGAGGTTCACTGGTAATAAAACCTGGAAGTACAGGGAGCTAGAAAAGACAGTGCAAACAATATATCAATCTTCCTGACTGAGAGGAAGCACAGACTGGACCAAAATATGCACAATTATCATTGCTAAATACTAGTACAAATCAACTGTTGAAGAAATTATTCTGTCCACCACCCTGAAAATGTTTCTTTGGAATGGCACCAGAACCTTTATTGCAAAGACTGGAGAAAGAGCTCATTCTCATTCTCACCCATTTCAAAAAACTATGATTTGCAGACCTGTGACTGAGGGCTTGATTTGCATTTTAAGTTACTTACTATTGATGATCAAGCATAAAGTAGGAGAAACTCTAAGATAATGAGCCTTAGCGTTACAGAAAACAATGTTGTTCACCCTAAAGGAACACACTGGATACATTAAGATCCCTTCAGGCAGTATCATTAAATCATTTTGGATAGGAAAGGAGGAAGAAGACTTAACAACAATTGACCTGCACCAATTCTTCAGCCTTACAGCTACTAACACCAAGGGGATTCTTGCACTGGAAATGCCATGCAGAATGTCTCAATGAAAGCCATTAAAACACCACTTCAGACATTACACAGAAAAAAATAAAATAAAATAAAATAATCTGCCCCTGTCCTTCCCCTCTTTAAGTACAACTTAGAGAGCAGAAGGACTCTGGTGCTATTGATAACAAGAATTCCAAATACCTAAAGGACAAAGGACCTGGGGGGACATTTTCAAGGAAGAAAAACTTGACTACAGTTATGCTCTAACATTGCTTTAGAGAATGAGCAAGGGTAGTTCCAAAGGACTGCTCTGTTCTTTACAAACAGAGTGAAAAGCAACGAAAGGAAAAGCCACTGACTCGAAAAGAAATCACAGAACACAGAAAAAAAGGAAAACAACAACAACAAAAAGAAAAAAACACTACCACAGTAATTATATTTTGTATAGCCAAAAAGAAACCAAATTCCTAGTAGTTATAAAAGAGATACCAGATGTAAAAGGCTTCTAGAGTAAATTACAAAAAAAGTGGTGTAAGGTAAACAAATCACTGGTCAGAACATTCTCCTTAAAGGGAAAAAGCTATACTTTGATGGAGTGCTGCTCTCCTCTGGACATGAAGAAAAGGAGAGACAGCACTTCTTGTCAGTCACTAATATTGTCTTCACTCAGAGACAGCTTTAATCTCTTAAAGTCAGACCGCCAAAGACGGTATGAAGAACAGGCTAGCCAGAGACTAGAAATGGTCTTCTGAACCATCTGATGAGAGTTAATAATAAACTAGAAGATGCAGAAGTAAGAAGAGATTCCTCTTAATTCTGTTTGAGATGCCTTTTAACATGAAACACACATCAGACGGCATGCCCACTGAAAAGCAAACAGATCCATTTAAATGAAGCAAATAATCCAAGCAATGACTGATGATTGTTAAACAAGATGCATTTGCTGATTACGGGAAAATAGGGAGACTTCTTAGAGATTAAGTATGCTGTTTTCATTGTATGACAATGCTTCGCATAAGCAATAGAGAAGAAAAACTGAAAGGACAAACATGACTCTTTTTAGGGAAATACACTTACAATTTGAAATTGCAAAAAGGGAGAGGTAAATTTTGAAGAATCACCAAAAATTAAAACTCACAACTCAAAACATTTTTCCTTTTAACATGTCAGGTCTTAGATCTCATCCTTTTGCTGGCATAGATGTCTTACATTCAATTTCTGCTTTTAGAATCCCCATTCTTCAAAATTCTCATTTTAAAGTTTTACTAATTCTTTGTGTGCTTTTTTTTTGCTCAATGCAAGAATAAATACACAGGGATAGCACTTCAAGATTTGTATTTCTGGTTGTACTATGGGAGGAAGGAAAGAGATGAAAACAAGAAAAATACTCTTAACTAACAAAGCTAAAGAATAAAATTGGATCTTACACTTTGCATTTGCACTTTGCAAGGTTAATTTTTTGTGGGTTCATGTTTGGTATATACACATAAGTGCACATACAGATGCATATATTACAACTGCTACTGCAGCACTCCAACAATCGCTGTGGGAATGTTTAAGAAAGATTATTCTCAATGCTAAACAATTCCAAAATTTATCTCAATACACCCTCCCACTGCTGACAGTTTAGCAGGTGTTCTATTGCAACAAGCAGCAGCTCAGCTGCCACCTGGTAGGCGTAGGCTGACTTATCAGCATTCAGCACATTTCCACTTCTATCACTTTGAGCCATGAGAGATCACAGCCTGGTTGTCTCTATTCACTTTCTCACTGAATCCCGTTAATTACAATTACACTTGGGTACAGTCTGCTTCCTCCCAAGACTAGGTGACAGAACCAAACTTAAATATTTAACTATTTCTAGCACATTCTTAGTTTTGTTGTTTGTTGTTTTTTGGGGGTGTTTTGTTTTTGTTTTTAATTAGAATACAGGAATAATCAAGACACTGAAATAAGAACATCAACTCCCTTATCTGCCTCAAATATGTGGTTCATGATAAAGTCCAAGGCTATGAAGGGAATCAGTATTTACCTATATATTGCAAACACTGAACTCAGCAACTATATTTCCATACGATAGTCTATCATTCAGAAAACAAACTATTTAATATACGAGTAATGTATTCAAAAAAAGTTTGCTTTCCAAGGCAGGCAGTATCATTCTAAACACCTGCATTTCTTCAGTTTTATACATAAGTTGATTAAAGCATGAAAAGCAAAGTGATATTGCAGAGGGCATGAAACTAATCAGTGCTTTCATCCCCCCTGTGCTGCAAACAGTGGTAATAACACAGGGCTGTTTTAGTTACTGCTGAGCAGTGCTTACACAGCGTCAAGGCCTTCTCTGCTTCTGATATTGCCCCACCAGCGAGCAGGCTGGGGGTGCACAAGAAGCTGGGAGGGGACACAGCCGGGACAGCCGAACCCAGCTGACCACAGGATATCACAGACCATGTCACATCATGCTCTGCAGTGAAAGCAGGGGGAAGGAGGAGGAAGGGGGGACGTTTGGACTGATGACATTTGTCTTCTCAAGTCACCATTATGCGTAATGAAGCCCTGCTTTCCCGGAGATGGCTGAACACCTAC